GAAGAAGAAGAAGAAGAAGAAGAAGAAGAAGAAGAAGAAGAAGAAGAAGAAGAAGAAGAAGAAGAAGAAGAAGAAGAAGGAGAAGAAGGAGAAGAAGAAAGGAAGAGGAGGAGGAGGAGGAGGAAAAACAAACAGAAATATCACCACCTCCCAGGTATTGCCTGAGGATGGAAAATGGATCCTAATGCTAGAAATCCAATGCTAGAAATCAAGAAAGTAGATTCTCTGAGCCCCTCCCTCAGGCCTGAGGCACTAGGAAGGGAACTTGGAGACCCTCTGGACATGGCCCACACGGCAGAACTGCCTTCCTCATACTGAATAGGAAACTTGATACCAGGTAGCAAGGCTTGGACCCAGAGGGCAGGTCTGGGCCACAGCTAGGAGGGCAGGCTGGACTATGAGCCTAGAGAGGAACTGAGTTAGATAGAGAGGAATGGAGTGGTCTGGGGAAGATGCTGCCTGGAGAAGCATGGAATTGTGGGGAGGTTCTCCCCTGGAGATGGAGTTGGGGAGAAACCTGGTCAAATCACCCTGAGTACAAGCAAAAAAGCTTTCTTCACCCTGATAGGGCATTCAGAAGAGCCCTGACATCCCTGCCTCCATTCTGGCATCCTTTTATACCTGAGCCACAAATATGAGCCAGCAGCATACAGCGAGTCACTTCTCAGAACTGCAGGCCTGCACCTGTGTCAGCAGGTACCTGTTTTGTCAGCATCCATACAGATGCCGGAGACCAGTGTCTACCTGTGCAAGGTGAGCCTCCTTGGCTCTATTATGCAGCTGGGGTAGGAGCCAGGACCCTAGAGCAGTAGATACCTGTTGTCATACATATTGCCTCATTTCCACTGTCCTGGGCAGATAATCACCAGTCCATCAAAATACTTTCCCTACTGAGTGAATGAATGAAGCCTCAGAATCCTGAATACTCAGCTCAGGGGGCATCACTAATCAATGGTGGCAAAGGAAAAAAATAGAGAGGAAATCAGAGAAGGTTGGAAGGGCTTAAGATAAGCTGTTCTCTCTCCTTCTAAACCAGTCTCTCCTGTCCCTCTTCTTGGGAAGCCTGTGGGTGCTGCACAGCTAGAGTGGCTGTTGGATAGGCTGACATCAGTCCTACAGCACCTGAATGAGATGCTCCTGGTAGTCTCCTGGGTAGACTTGATGGCACTGATAGAGCTGATGCAGGTGAGGCTTTCCTACATCCCTGCCTTCTGTGGGGACACAAGGCATGAAGCTGAGGACTCAGCCAGCTGCCCTCTCTCCCCATCCCACTTCCATTGGCTATAACTTCTTCCAAGACTGACCCAACTGGCAGTGTGGTGGGTCCTTGGGGAGGTCACTCTCCGTGCTGATCTCTTTAAGGAGGCCTACAAGCTCATACTCTAGTCTTGGGACCCCCTCGAGGCCCAGCTGGACCCCCAGCAGGCCCAGAAGCTGGTGCAGCTTCTGCAGAAGCCAGCTCTATTGATGGGTACAGCCTGATCACTCCCCTGAATTCGGCTGTTTGTAATAAATACACTGTACTCTCTGCCTATGCCTTACTCTGTCCCCAGGAAGTGATGCCTATCTCATTTCTGAGCTGAGGCCTAGAAAGACAGGGAATCTTTCAAAATCACACAGCACAGAGCAGCACTCAGGCCTCACCACAGGTCTCTAGTTCATTTCCTCAGTCTCCCGGGCAGTCTACTCACTGCAGTCCTAATCCAGGCCAGGAAGTTTCTGGGCTTCATTACATGGCATGATTGGGCTGACCACACCCTCGGACCCCTGTTGGTATTGTCCCTGATGTCCCCTGGGTTCCCACAGTGTGCTATAGTCAATTTCCCATTACTGTAAGGAAACTATCTGAGATAATTAATTTATAATGAGGAAAAGGTTATTTTGGGTCATAGTTTCAGAGTTTCCAGTGCATGATTAAGTGGACCAGTTTCCAGTCTGGCGGGGGTGTTCAAGAAAATGCAGGAAATGTATAACAGAGAAAACTGCTCACTTCACAGCCAGAAAGCAAAGGAGAAAAAAGAGGAAGAGATTGGTGTCTCACAATTCCCTTCAAGGGCATGCCCCCAGCCACCTAACTTCCTTCCATTAGGCCTCACTGTCTAAGGGCTCTGCCACTCCTAATAGCACCACTCTGGGGACGAAGGCTTTAGCATATGGGCCTTTGGAAGACATTCAAGATCCCAACTATAGCACCCAGCTTCTGTGTCTTATTCTCCCAATTCAGACTAAATTTCCTTGTGGATAGCCCCAGTCCCTACTTTTGACCCTGAAAGTTTAGTTCTCATTGCCTCCTCCTCAGTCTGGACCTTGCAAAGTCCTTTATAAAAAGGACTACACTGAAGGCCTGGCCCTGGGAATTCTCATGCATGACCCCTTCTCAGACAGGCTATCTTTAAGGCAGAACCAAGGGGCAACAGGCATAAACCAGCACCTGCTTCCCCTCCACCAACCCTTTTCCAAGAACCTCTCCTCACTCTTAGTTATCTTCAGAATCCCTGCTATTGTGAGAGTTCTAGGTTTCCTTGTCTTATGACAACACCAAGGGAAACAAGAAGTTCCAGAATGTGGGGTCCTGGGCTTAGGTCAGAGAGGGCACAGGGTCAGGGGCTCAGGCTGAACACAGACTCAGGTCTGTGCTTGGTCTGCTGGGGCTTTGGGGCCCAGGAAGTGTCAGCATGGTCCTGGAGCTCTACATGGATCTTCTGTCAGCATCCTGCCGCGCTGTCTACATCTTTGCCAAGAAGAATGGCATAGCCTTTGACTTCCAGTTTGTAGATCTGCTGAAAGGTCAGTCCCTACGTCTACCCAGGCAGATCTCATCCTGAGGTGCAGCTAGAATACCCAGGAGGGTAGGGTGTTTTTTGAGAAGCAGAGACAGAAACAAAGGCCACTCTCCACAAAAGTCTGCAGGGGAATAAAAGGTGCCCAAAGTGTCAAGGTACACAGTCTGCATCTCTGTCTAACCCACCTTAGTCAGAGTCCCCACTAATGATGGTGAGATGAACAGACTTTCTGAGAGAAAAAGGGAAGGAAGGACTTCTAGAGAATCCCTGAGCACCCAGTTTGCATCCTCACCATCTCCATGTGGGGGTCTTGCATCTTGTTATCTAGTCTATCTTGCCAATCAGTCTAGTAAAGTTCACAGAAAGGTAGTCATTCCCCACATGAGAGTGCAGCTGTTGTTCAGTCCATCTCCATTTTTCCAGGTGTTCAAGCTTGTTTAGATGACTGGGGATGTAGCTCAGTGGTAGAGCTCTTGCCTAGCATGTGAAAGACCCTGGATTCCATCCCAAGTACCAGTCCCTCCAAAAATTATATGAAGAGCAAACCTGCTCAGGGTTACACCAACCTCATAAGAATGTCATGGGAATCAAACACCAGCCCCACCTCAAGAATAGAGGAGGTTCTAAAAGCTCAGCTTATGCAGACAGAAGCCTCTAGACTGTAGAGAAGGAGACAATGTAACTATGGAATGAATGAGGTGTAATTGGAGCCCTAAGAAATGTTTCCACTTAGAAGCATCTGGTTAAGGAGTCAAGAGTCCTGATTCCTGCTCCCAGTGGAGTTCTGCATTCAGATCTGATGACCCTGATTGCCTATGAGGGATTCCTTTTTGGACACTCAGCTGTGTTCAGGCAGCTGTGGCTGCCCTGTTCCACTTAAAGAGGGGACAGAGTGAAGGAGTGTCAGGGCAGGTCCTTAGGGCTCCTGTTCATTCAGAAGCTGTGGCTTCAGGTAGTGATGGAATAGGAGCTGGAGACCTTCAGTTTGGGGAGCCAAAAGACTATCTTGGTTCCAGGGCACAAGGGTCACCAAGTCTGGGGTATGGGCAGGGTAGAAGGTAGAAGTCCTGATCCTGGCTCCTATTCTGTTGCTGACTTGCCCCAGGATCATATGGGTCTTTGGAAGACATTCAATATCCAAACTATAGCACCCAGCTTCTGTGTCTTATTCCTTAAGGCCTCAGTTTCCCCTTCTGGATGAAATAGGGAGAAATTTCTGTTTCTAGGAAGCAGAGATAGGATCCCAACAGCCTCAGACCCTCCCTGCTCCTCTCAGGTCATCACCATAGCAAGGAATACATTGAGATCAACCCCCTGAGGAAGCTGCCCAGCCTCAAAGATGGAAAATTTATCTTATCTGAAAGGTAAGTGACCTTCCAGTACTCTGGGGATGGAATCCAGGGCCTTGTAGATGTTAGGCAAGTGCTCTTCCTAGGAAATTCAGTAGGAACCCCCCTTGTAGCATTTATTTACTTTTTTTTATTTTTAATTTTTTTTTTAGTTATAGATGGACATAATATCTTTATTTTATTTATTTATTTTTATGTGGTGCTGAGGATGGAACCCAGTGCCTCACATGTGTGAGGCCAGCAGTCTGCCACTGAACCACAACCCCACCCCTATTTACTTATTTTTTTTTACCATGGAAAATTTCACACATGCACTAAAGGTAAATGCATACTAACTAATATGCATATATGAGTATAACAAACCCACATACCCATCTCCCAGGTTCAGCATTTATCAATTAGGGTTTATTTTGCATTATTCATACCACATCCGGTTCCTCTTCCAGACACCCGTAAATATTCAGTTCACACCCATTCCACTTATAAATGTTTAGGAATATGTCTCTAAGAGATAAAGACTCTTCAAAAACGCACCATCCCAATACTAATATGACAATAAAATTAACAATAATTCTTGGACTTCAGAAAATATCCATCTCCTATTCAAAAGTCTCTAATTATCTCATAAATATTTTTTGGCAGTTTGGTTGAATCAGGGTCTAAAAAAGTTCTGAGTATTACAGTTGTTTGGTCTCTCTCTTATGCCTCTCTACCTATAGCCCCCTGTCTTACTCCATCTTGGGTTGCTATCACTGAATAGTACCGAATGGTAAATTTATAGCAAATAAAGGTTGAATTTATCCCATGGTTCAGGATGTCAAAAAATCTAAGAGCATGGAGCTGTCATCTGCTTTGCATTGGCTGAGGGCTTTCCCTCTGGATCATAGCATGCCACAAAGAATTACATGGTGAGACAGAGCAAGCAAGCCAGAGAGAGCTTGCTTTTATATCAAATCCACTCCTATGGCAAAACATTAATCCAGTAACTCTTTTAACTGCAAATCGATGAATTCATTTATGGGGCCTCTTCATTCTTAATGGTCCAACCTCTTAATACCTTATAGCAGGGATTAAATCTCAACCCAAGTTTTGATACAGACATTTAAACTGTAGCATCCTCTCCATTCCCTGACCTCTTTGTCTTAGCATATTTATTATTAATTATGATGAGGAAATTGGGTCCTTTGTCCTGTGGAGGCAATGCCTAGGACCCATCCATCACCAGAATGTCTCCAATATGTACTGCATTCCCAGGCCTCTGTTCCTAATTCCATCCCACAAATACCAGAAACCCTTGCTTGGTTATTACTGGATGCTGGAGCTATCATCTTGGCCTTTCTGTTATCAATTCTGACCCTTCCATCCAGCACTAGAGAAATGGATTCTCTCTCATCCCTTATAATCTTAAGAATTAAGTCCAAACTTCCCTGCATTTCCAAGGGCCTCCATACTTGGGCTCAACAGCATCTGACTGTCTCTCTTCACTCCCTGACCGCCCCTGTCCACTTTATGGTGTACTTGCCTGCCCTCCATTTCCCAAAATTTACCTCATGCCCTCTTACCCTGGTGTTTTGACATACGTTGTTTCTCCTAGCTAAACTGCCCTTTCTTATGCCATCCAATGACTCCTGCTCACCCTGCAGGTCTCCTTCCCTGCCCTTGCTGATTATTAGACTGACAGCTTCGGGGAGACCTTTCCTTGGGTCCTTTGGACTCCTTCTCCTGGAAGAATGTCAGCATCTAGAGCCTGATTATGGCTGGGGTGGTCAGTGTTGGAGCCTTCTGAAGATAAGAGCAGTTGTCCTGATCTGCCCTTTCTGCAGTGTGGCCATCCTTTTTTACCTGTGCCGAAGGTACAGCACACCCTCCCACTGGTACCCACCAGACCTGCACTCACGGGCCCGTGTGGATGAGTTCATGGCCTGGCAGCACACGGCCATTCAGCTGCCCATGAGCAAGATACTCTGGATCAAGGTAAATGGGGTCATGTCTGGGGATTGGGGACAAGGGGGAAAGGAGTTAGGAAGCCTAGAGTCCAGTCCCAGCCCTGCTGACCACTAATGAGCTCAAGAAAATCTTCCTCCCTCTTTGAGCTTTATTTCACCTGCTCCCCCTCCTGCCTTCCTTATAGAGTTGCTGGGAATGTGGAATGAACCATTGAGTATGACAGAGTCTTGTTAAGACAAGGAAAAAAACACCCAAGAAGGGCTGATATGACTCAAGCCAGGACAGGATTCAAAAAAATTGATTCTGAACTAGAGAATGTAAAGGGCCCATTGAGATTAGAAAACTTAAAGATGATAAATAACATGCGTGCTCTTACTTCTAATCCTAAGCCTATGTCTTAGTCCATCTTTCATTGCTGTAACAGAACATCTGAAGTTGGGTAGCTTATTTTTAAAAAGAGAGAGAGGGAGAGGGAGAGGGAGAGGGAGAGGGAGAGAGGGAGAGAGGGAGAGAGGGAGAGAGAGGGAGAGAGGGAGAGAGAGGGAGAGAGGTTTATTTTGCTCACAGGTTTGGAGGCTGAAAGTCCAAACAAATGGCACCAGATCTGGTAAAAGCCTCATGGCAGATGTCATCACAATGGGAACGTATAAGAAGGATCACATTGTAAGACAGGAAGCCAGAAAATAGGGAGGGGCCAGTCTTGCTCTTCTGAAAAACTTGCTCTTTTAAGAACTAACTCAGTGTCCCATGAGAATTACCTTAATTCCTTCTAAGGGCAGAGACCCCAGTGATATACTACTAATCTTCACACCTTTTAAAGGTTTTACCACCTTTCACATTGCTCTACTTGGGACCAAATTTCCAACATATGAATCCTTGGGGGGTACACTCAAACCAAATATAAACTATAACAACCTATGCAAACATTACTAACCAATCATAGGATTCACTCTTGATAAGGTCTCAAAATCCTTCTGATTACATGGCACCAGGCAAAATCTACCAATCAGATCTGCTAAAATAGATGAAACTACTTTACAGCCCTTGGTACTGTCCACTATGTATCTAGCAGACAAGGATATAGAGATCTGGAGGGACAGATGAAACAGAATTGTAGCTTCCATTTCCTTCCTCTCCCCCACCTCGTCAGTTGCTGATCCCAATGATCACAGGTGAGGAAGTTTCAGCTGATAAGACAGAACAGGTGCTGGAAGAAGTGAAGCAAAACATGCAGTTCTTCGAGGAGAAGTTTCTACAGGACAAGCTGTTCATCACTGGGGACCACATCTCACTGGCTGACTTGGTAGCTCTAATGGAGATGATGCAGGTGTGGGGTGCAGTAATGGGGGGTGGTCAGAGGATGGGCAGAAGCAGGAAACTTCTGTGATCAGTGTACCCACAACTTGAGAATAGACTGTCAAAGCAAGAGAAGCAGGCATGCCCATCCTGAGGATTGTGGGAACCAGATCTGGGTGCCTGGATTACATTTGGGAAGCACAGAAGGTTTTGAATCAGGGAAGATCATGATCATCTATCTTGGCAAGGCTTCCACAGCATGTAGAGGAACTAGAGGATGAACCTAGAATAGAGAGAATACCACATTTCTCAGTCCATGTCTCCTCCTCCTCCTCCTCCTCCTCCTAGGGATTTTCTTTTCTTCTTCTTCTTTGCTTTTCTTTTGTCATTTTTTTTTTTGAACTGGGGGTGGAACCCAAACTGGGGGTGGAACCCAGGGCTTTGTGTATGCAAGGCAGATGCTTTGCCACAGAGCTGCATTCTGGCCCCACTATAGGATTTTCCAGGAAATGTTAAGAGGTCTTGCCTCTTTTCCAGAGCTCTATACAGAGAGTAGTATGGGTAAAGCTGTCTTGATTCTGGGTCTGAGGGGTATCCAGTATGCATTTGGAGGCATGCAGGGGTGTTGGGGCATTTATGTAACCGTTATATGCAGGGAAGAGTAGCTAGTTTGGAGCTAGCTGGTACGTGCAGGATGGATAATTTAACCCTGGCCAGTGTCTTGAGAGCTGGTATGGTCTCTGGCTGGTATGAAAAGCAGCCACTTTGGTCCCTGGTCAATGTGCAGTACAGACCAGCACCAGGAAAAACTATTCAAGTATGTCTTAAGTATACAGCCCAATGCTTCACTTGCATTCTTTACCTTTCACCCACATCAGCCTCTCATGAGCCTCCTGAAAACCTTGGTTAATTATTTTTCTTTTCTTTTTTTAGGTACATATTTCCTTTTTAGTTGTAGATGGACACAACATTTTTTTGTATTTTTATTTTTATGTGGTGCTGAGGATTGAACCCAGTGCCTCACATGGGCCAGGCAAGCACTCTACACTGAGCCACAACCCCAGCCCCTAGGTTATATATTTCTTAAACAAGCAAGACAAATCTGTAGGCAGGTTGCCTCCTGGGTCTCCTCTTTCATCCCCTGTGTTTGATCACAGAGAAGAGTTCAATGTGAGGAGAACAGAACTGAGTTCTTCCACCAATTCCCTTGGGAACAAGGAATCTACCTGGAAATGGGTAGGAACCATGTGGGGTGGGTTCAAGCCAGAGAAGTGGGAACTACCTGGATCAGGGATCACCTAGAGAGGGGTTCAGGAGCCTTGGAGCAGGACCAGTGACCAAGAACCCTGGGGGATTCTGAAATACCTATTCCTACCTCACATCTATTACATAGTTTGTGACCCCTTGTCTGGGTCTTGGGGGCCGGAGGATGACTAACCCTTTGTAAAGGCAGACGGGGAGGGCCTTTGAGGCTATAGGAGAAGACCCAAGTGGCACTGACCACATCTTCCTCTTTGTCTATCTACAGCCCATGGGGACCAATTATAATGTTTTCCTCAGCTCCAAGCTGGCTGAGTGGCGCATGAGAGTAGAGCTGGCAATTGGCTCTGGCCTCTTCTGGGATGCCCATGACCGGCTGTCAAAGTTGGCAGAATGGGACTGTTCAACATTGGATCCACTTGTCAAAGACAGAATTTCTGACTTTGTGAAGAAGTCCAAGTGACCCCAGAGGCAGCTGATCCAGCAGGACTTGACTGGCTCAGTCCTCTCAGCCTCCTTCCTTAAAGGAGATACTAAAAAACAACTGTGTTCTTTTGCCCAATAAAGAATTGGAACATCCATCATGACTACTGAGTCCAGAACAGTTGGTATAAGCATAGAGCCTGATGTGGGAGCAGGTGGTGGTCATGGGTCTTCCCAGTTTCCAAAAAGAATATAAATTCTTTTTGGAAAATTAAAGGTTAAACATGATTATATTGTCAATAATAATATTTTATTATTTCAATACCCATTTAATAACAGAATAAGATAATTAAGGAGCAATACTATAAACCATTTGGGCCCAGAGACAGTCCCGCAACAATAGCAGAGTAAACATTTCCCTCAAAGGAACATGGGATGTTCTCCAGCATAGACTAAATGTTTGGCCATAAAATATGTCTCAAATTTAAGAATACTATGTAAATTATGTCTTCTGAACACAATGAAATAGCACTAGAAATCCCTAACAGAAGAAAAACTAGAAAATTCACAAGTATGTAGAAATTAAACAACGTACTCATAACCAATGGGTTAAAGAAGAAATCACAGGAAAATTAGAAAGTGCCTTGAATAAATGAAAATGAAAACAGAACATACCAAAATGTATAGAACACAGTATAAGTAGTTCCAAGAAGAAAATTTATGGCTATAAACATATAATTTAAAAAGAATGATCTTTGCTGGGCAGAGTGGTGCATGCCTGTAATCCCAGCTACTCAGGAGGCACAGGCAGGAAGATCACAAGTTTGAGGTCCACCTGGGCAATTTAGTGAGACCCTATCTCAAAAACAAAGGCTGGTGATACAGGTCAGTGTTAGAGTACCCCTGGGGTTCAATCCTCAGACAGTGGGGAAAAGATCTCAAATCAAAAACCTAACTTTACATCTTAAGGAACTAGAAAAATAAGAACAAACTGAACCCAACCCATTAGAAGAAAGGAAACTGGGCTGAGGATGTAGCTCAGTGGTAAAGCACTTACCTGGTATGCACAAGGCCTTGGATTCAATTCTCAGCACTGCAAAAATAACAAAACAAAACAAAAAAGAAACAATAAAGATTAGAATGAGGTGAATAGAAAAACAATAGAGGAAAAATAATGATCTTTTAAAAGATCAACAAAACTAACAATTTTATCTAGAATAATCAAAAAATAAATTAAAAATTACTCAGACCAGGATAGGAAACAAGGACATAACTACTGATCTTATAAAAGTACAAAGAATTATAAAGAAATATGTATTTTAGATATCCTAAATGGGAAATTTTCTAGAAAAACACAATTGTCCAAAACTTATTTAAGAAGAAATAGAAAATTTGAATAGACCTATATAATAAATAGGTCAAAAAATATTAATTTTAAAAAGCTTTCTACAGTTGGGCGCAGTGGTGCGCGCCGGTAATCCTAGCGGTTTGGGAAGCTGAGACAGGAGAATTGAGAGTTCAAAGCCAGACTCAGCAACTGCGAGGCACTAAGCAACTCAGTGAGACCCTTTCTCTAAATAAAATATAAATAGGGCTGGGGATGTGGCTCAGGTTGAGTGCCCCTGAGTTCAATCCCTGGTACCAAAAAAAAAAAAAAAAAACTTTCTAAAAAGAAAACCCAAAGACCAGATGATTTCATGATGATTTCTGCTAGATACTTTTTTCCATCCCCCAAATCCAGTCTTTTTCAAAATTATAATTATTTGATCATATTAACTATACAAATTAATTGAGTTTCACTATGGCATTTTCATACATGCACATATCATGTTTTGATGGTACCTACCACTGCAGCATCAACAAAGGATTCTCCAGTAGGAGCAACTAGAGATGAAGAAAAACACAAAGAAGACACAGAGATATTTTCATGAAAATCTGGGGCCAGATGGGACTGGACTCTGATAGAGGAACAGTGACTTAGAACTAGCTTCACAAGTTTATTATATAGGGTCTCATAATCAGGAAGTTAAGGGGCATTGTAAATTATTCAAGGTTTTTTAAGTTGTCAGAGCCTTCTTTGTGCATTAAACAGTTACAGAGCTAGAAACATTTTGCAGCAGCTATACTACTGCTGCGGTGCTAAGAACATTCTGCCATTCTTCTGCTGTACCCAGGACACCCATTGTCCTGGGACCTCTGATGACTGTTAGCATCAGAGCCGAGAGTCAGGGCTGAGAACATCCTTGCCTTTGGCAAGGAATTTTTCCCAGGCTTGGATCAGCTGATGACTAGGGGTTCATCTGCTTTCCACACCTACCCTCCCTAGTACCCCCCCCCTTTTTTTTGGCATCAGGGATTGAACTCAGGGCACTTAACGATAAGACACATGCCCCAGCCCTTTTTATTCTTTATTTAGAAACAGGGTCTCACTAAGTTGTTTAGGGCCTTGCTAAATTGCTGAGGCTGGCTTTAAGCTTGCAATCCTCCAGCCTCAGCCTCCCTAGTCTCTGGGATTACAGGCATGTGCTGCCATTCCTGGCCCTACTATCTTCTCTTATCCTCCCCTGGATCCTCCTCCCCTTACCTAATAGTCTGTTTTTTTTTTGTTTTGTTTTGTTTTGTTTTTTGTTTTCAGATCATTTCAGTTCTAATTTTATTTTTATTTTTAAAATTTCTACATATGAGAGAAAACGTGTTGTACTCATCTTTCTGTGTCTGGCTAATGTGATAACCTTCAGTTCCATTCCTTTTCCTGAAAATGACATGATTTTATTCTTCTTTATGGTTAAATTGAACTCCATTATGTATAGACACCATATTTTAAAAATCCAATCACCTGTTGACAGGCACCTAGGCTCATTCCATATCTTGGCTATTGTGAATAGTGCTGGAGTTTGTGAATACTTTGCAGGTTCTCTCTTTTATATGTTTTCCACAGTGGCTGTATATTACATTCCCACCAACAAAATATAAGGGTTTCCTTTACTCTGCATCCTCACCAGAATTGCACATTGTTTGTTTGTTTTTGCAGTACTAGGGATTGTACCCAGACTCTTCCACATACTAGGCAAGCACTCTACCACTAAGTTATATCCTAAGCCCTTTTTAAAGTTTTCATTTTAAGACAGAGAGTCTCACTTAGTAGCCCAGTCTGACCTCAAACATGCAATACTCCTTCTTCAGCTTCCTGAGTAGCTGGGATTATAGGTGTGCGCCACTGTACCCAGATACTGTTTTTTGATAATAACCATTCTGACTAGGGTGGAATGGAATCTCAATGAAGTTTTGATTTGCATTTTCCTTGTGAGTAAAGATGTTGAACATTTTTTCATAAATTTATTGGCCATTTGTACCTCTGAGAAGTGTTCAGTTCATTTCTTGATTTTATTACTTGTTCTTTGATGTTAACTTTTTTGAGTTCTTTTGTATGTTCTGGATATTAATCTTCTGTCAGATGAATAGCTGGAAAAGATTTTCTCCCATTCTGTAGGTTGTCTCTTCCTTCTGTTGATTGTTTCCTTATCTGTGCAGAAGCTTTTTAATTTGATGTAATCTCACTTGTCAATTCTTGCTCTTATTTCCCAAACTAGTAGAGGCTTATTTAGGAAATTGTTGCTTGTGCCACATCTTGAAGTGTTTCCTCTATGTTCTCCTTTAGTAGTTTCAATGTTTCATCTCCTTTACTAAGTTCCTTGATCCATTTCAAGATGACTTCTGAACAGGGTAAGAAATAGCAATCTACTTTCAATCTTCCTTATGTGGTTATATAGTTTTCCCATCATCATTTTTTGAAGGGGCTATCTTGTCTGCAATATATTTTTGGTTTCTTTGTTAAGAAACAATTGGCAGTAGGTGCATAGGTTTAATTCAGGGTCCTCTATTCTGTTTCATTTGGCTCATGTCTGTTTTTATGCCAATACCACGTTATTTATGTAACTATGGCTCTGAAATCAGATATTAAAATGCTTCCAGCATTGCTCTTTTTGCTGAAGATTACTTTGGATATTTGGGGGTCTTTTGTTCTTCCATATGAATTTTAGAATTGTTCTTTCTAGTTCTGTGGCAAAAGTCCCAATATTTTCATAGGGATTATATTGAATCTGTAGATTGTTTTTGGTAGTATGACCATTTAAACAATATTAATTCTCCCAATCCATGACTTTGGGAGATCTTTCCATGTCTCAGTTTCTTCTTTAATTTCTTGTTTCAGTGTTTTATAATGTTTTTTCACTGTGGAAACTTTCACTTCCTTAGATTTGTTCTTAAGTATTTTATTTTATTTTTAGAGATTATTGTGAATGGGATTGCTTTCCTGATTTCTTTCTCAGGAAGATGATGATGATGATTTTGTAGTTGTAGATGGACAGAATGCCTTTATTTTATTTGTATATGGTGCTAAGAATTGAACCCAGTGCCTCACACATGCTAGGCAAGTGCTCTGCCACTGAGCTACAGCCCCAGCCCAGGAAGTTCATTATTGATGTATAGAAAAGCTACTGATTATTGTATTTTGCAATCCTCCTGCCTCAGCCTCCTGAGCCATTGGGATTACAGGTGTGCACTACCGCTGCCAATTCTGTCCCCTTCTGGGTCCCTGATTGGTTTCCCACTCTGTAGAGTTTCCAGTGAGTTTGTTTCAGTAGCTCTCCCCTGGGCCAAACTCTCAAAAGAGATGCACACTAAGACAGTGTAGTAATGTTTGCTGTGGGTTCCTGAGCACAGGAAAATGCAGGGTCTTTGTTTTTCAAAAGCAGCAAGCTCAGACATGATCTTTTCAAGAGGACTCCCTGTTATATCACCATGAGCACACAATGGAAAGTGCAGAGAATTTTTCCAGTGCCAACCTGCTATGCAGATCTCCATCAGTTGAGTTCAGATTTCCTTTCTGCATGGTGGCAATTTCTATCCTAGTTGCATTCACTGGGTCCCTTTTCCTCTATTACCCCTTTCTTAGTTACACTGCCACGCATCTCACTTCTATGTGCTCAGTGCTGCACACACTTTCTCACTCAGTTTTACTCTCTAGAGACCCTGGGCTTT